TCAAATAACAGGATTTAACTCCTTTATAATATCATCATAGTTGTAAATTTAAGTGATAACCGCAATATAAGGACTCAACCTAGTAGGGACAATAGTGTGCCGAAATTACTTAATGAAAATTTTATAAAACAAAGGCTAGACTCGTATAACTGGGCGCAATTATCGGATATAACATGTCCACTTGTGTTATTTCAAACATTATGTACTGTGTTTGATAGGATATATAGGGAAAGTACAACTGTAGTAACAACTTGTAATAAAAGTTTAATAAGACAACCATGGATAGATAGATATTTATATAAAATGATATTAAGACGAGACTATTTGTTTAGAGTGTGGAAATGTGAACCAAAAAATATGAATAAGCGATTAGAATGTACAAAATTTAGAAATAAAGTAAATAAAACTATAATTAAGGCTAAAAATAAATATAGACAGATGGAAATAAAAAAATGTAATGGGGACTTTAAGAAAATATGGGCAAAAATAAACCAGTGGCTGGGGCGAAATAAAGTAAGTCTAGATGATGTAATATTGCGGCATTTAGGTAAGACAGAAAATATGATACAAATATGTACAAATTTTTCTAAAACATTTACTGAAGAAATTAAGGCAATAAAGCATAAATCTAAAATTAAATTTTTACATTTATGCTTTATTCCCTTAATTTCTTTTTAGAGTTTTAGATATATGATGGTGTGCTCTTTAGATGTAGAAAAGGTTATTAATAATTTATCATGTGAAAAAGCCCCCGGATTAGATGGAATTAGGATAAAAGACATCAAATATATACGGAAACAATTAAGTCCTGTTATAGCAAATTTTATGAATATGTGTATGTTGAAAAGTATTTATCCCGATCAGTTAAAACATGCTATTATACGCCCTATATATAAGTCAGGAAACCACTTAGAATATGTTAATTATAGACCTATAGCCATATTATCTATTATTGATAAAATTTTTGAAAAAATTATTGTACGCCAAATTTCTAAATTTTTGGAATGTCATAATATTTTGTCAGACGCTCAGCACGGTTTTCGCCCGGGGCGCAGTACAGTTTCAGCACTAACGGAATTTGCCGATTACATAAACGAGGCTTTGGACGCTGTAAACAAATTATAACACTTTTTATAGATTACAAAAAGGCGTTTGACACCCTGGATCATGACATTCTACTACAGGCGATGGATGAATGTGGAATACGAGGCCCTACGAATAAATAGTTTCGGAACTACCTGAGTAATAGGAAAATGCGTACGAGCTGGTGTGACTGGTGAGGATATGCATGTGGATCTGGGGGTACCGACTGGATCAGTATTTGGTCCGTTAGGATATGTGATGCATGTGAATAGTGTTTCAAATGTCGTAAACAAGTGCCGCGTTTTTATGTATGCCGGTGATATGTGTATTGTTTATACTTCCAAGGATATATCCGAGATACAAAGCTATGTACAAGAAGATTTTGAAAGTATAACTAAGTGGGCACACGATAATGGAATTATATTGAATATGTCGAACACCAAGTGCATGCATATACACTCACCATACAATCTACAAGTTAAAATCATTAATAAAGAACAGATACATATAATTGGCCACTCATATGAATGCCTACATGCTAATAAAATCGACTGCAGGTGTGAGAAATTAGATTATGTCAATACATTTAAATATTTAGGCTTAACTATTGATCAAAATTTTAGCTGGAAAACGCATGTTAATGACATATGTAATAAATTAAGATCATGGTATGTAAGTTTTATCAATTAAATGCAGTTGTAGACAAGCACACGTTACGCATTGTGTATTATGCGCTTGCTGACTCACTGATTAGCTATGGACTCATTGTATATGGGCGGACGTTTTGCACCTATTTAAAAAATATAAAAAATTTACAAATAAGGCTGATTAAGTACCTAGTGACCAAAAAAGTTTAAGATTATTGTGGACAGGACTATAATAACTTATTTCCAATTTGTAAAATACTGCCTGTAGACAAAAAAATCGATTACTTAATAGGCATACGTCACTACTATAGTAACGAGTATAAAAGATATGTTAATAATAAATATGATACAAGAAGTGTAAAATGTAAAATGCTTGTTAAACCGAGAATGAATAATTATTATGAATAAAGATTATCAAAATTTCTAATATCTAAGATATTTAATAAATTTGAACTTTTGAGAGGGAGTCCGCAACTCAGTAAAAATGTGTTGAAATCAAAACTTAAACAGTTGTTTCTTGATGAATTATCATTGGAGTAGTAGTTTATTTATAACAGAAGTATATCATTGTTTTAATTAGTGCCTGTGTTGGTTATAATTATAGTGTAAAGAAATACTTAATAAATGTGTATAATCAATATTATAAGTAAATTAGTAGTATACTTAGAAGATATTATGTTGAAAATCGAGCGTGTCTCGCCATCAAACGTAAAAGTTTGGCGAGAATAGCTATGTAAGCCTATTCTTTGTAAAATATTTTTGTGATTAAATAAAAAAATTACTTTGCAGTAATCGGCTCAACTTATGCTAACTCAATATTAAAAAGTCAGCAATCCGTTGGCCATCCTAACATCGTATAAAATATCATGGTGGCAAAATTATAAAAATGCGGTTGTTTGCGGTTGTCTACCCGTCTGTCGACTTAGGCAACTTTGGCTAATTACTTTGAGGCTTATGTTTATTAGTAAACCTTTGATAGACTTTGGATAATGAATGAAAGGAATAATGATGTACAAAAGAGGTTTGAACCTAATCAAAAGGGTTAAACAATAATTTTTAACAATAAGTAAAAGTAGACTGCACTTCTACTAATTTCACATTCTGAAGTCGGCCTTCAATACTTTTCTACACTATATATATATATATACAACGCCGACTTCAAAATTATTTTATTTATTATTATCATTGTACTCTCTTGCTTCTTTTTGACACCACAGACTTCATTCAGGTGACCATAAATATTACATTTAAAGAAATTTCGTGCAATATTTGAGAATATTTATAAACATTTTCACCATAGATTTTTGCTGGGTCTTGCCATTGCTCGTTGCCTAAGAAGGATAGAGGAGTTAGCCCTTTATCATACCAAATGACGTCCCTGTAAAATAGGTCATCTGATCTCAGCAGGAAATAATTACGGAGACTGCACACTTCGCGATTATGCGTGATGAGAGCGCTTAAAAAGCCACGCCATATTTCCGTGGCAAGTACAGCCTCATAATCGAAGATCTCGCGTGTTGCATCCTGTGGGACGTCATAACAGTGCGCACTTTTCTGTCCAAAGCGTTTAGTTCGGTCTGAGTTCATGTGAGTATGCCAAAGGTATACATGAGAACAGGCATGACCCAATCGTTATATTTTCATGTCTTAATAACGCCCAAGGAAAGGCTGCTAAGAACTTTTGTCAAGCGTGCATAAAACACATCGCAAACTGACTATTTCATATCCGCTGCATCGATACCTATGTCCTGTGACACACCCAGGTATCAGTATGCTTCTGCTTTGGAAAGTCTTCTTATGTTGATGGGCATAGATAAATCTATACCTTCAGAGGTGGCAACCCTACCCTACTAAATTCACAAGTGACGTTCAGCAATTCAACTTGAGATCATCCATATAGAAAAGGTTTTTTCCCTCCCTTCCAAAGCTGGAATGATCTCCAGGAGCCCTCCAGTAAGGTACTGAAAGGGTTTAGAGAGAAGTAGAAACAGATTTGACTTAGACAATCGCCCAGGAAGATACACCTCCTTATCCTTATGTGGTTTTCCATAGCCGTCATACGCTCGCTCAGATGACAAAGGATCGTACTCTACTGCCCTATACACTACTCGAGGAAGTTTCTAATTACACAGATAACCTTGTACAGCTCAAGGACCCTCTTTAAACATGTATTGGGCACTGAGTCGAATGCTTTTCTGTAGTCTCTCTAGGCGGTGGAGAAGATTCGCCGGTTGCGCTGAAGCACTTCTACAACAGCTCAATGTCAATGAGGAGTGGTTCCTTGGTTTCACAACCATCGCCCCGAGATCCATTTTGAGCGCGTGACATCAACTGATTTAGCTCCAGGTGACGAGTGATTCTTGCGCTCAAAATGGATATCAGTGTCTTGTATACGATGGGTAAACACGTTATGAGGCGGTATTTGCTTGGGTCTGTGGTTACCTGATCTTTAGGAAACAAGTGAGTAATCTCAGTAGTGAAGAGGCTCAGGAGCTATTTCTGGTCGAGAGTCTCTTGAAACTGTCAGGCAAGCACAGCGTGACACACTATGAACCCCTCCAACGAGTATTGATGCAGCCCGTCGAGTCTTTCGAGTCGAGACTTTTCCAGTTCAGCCACGTCTTCCGGCGTTATGGTGACGGGGTTTATAGACGTAACGCTTGCACTCTGGCTCGCGACAACTTTCATCCAAGGGCCTTAGCTCATGTTTAGGGGCTCTGACCATAGACCGCGCCAGAACGCAACATTGTCTGCCTGATCCGCTATTTGGTCAGTTCCATATATCTTTGGTCGCTCCAATGATTTACATAGCCCCTTCTGATTACTATTGGAGAGACGATTCTGAGTGAACCACCTTAACCTCTTGGTATATAACTGAATTCGCTTCCCTCAAGCAGTGATACTTTGCTTCAGGTCATCTATGCGCGATGTCAGTTTCTGCGTGATATCTGGCTGGGACAAACTGATATTTGCCCCAGCAAACGCCATTCTGACACTGCACACAGCTCTCGGCCTATTATTGCTCAACCAGAAGTTGGTCAGTCTACCTAAAACGGCCCTTGCCTTTGCGATACGGTCCTCAATTATTTTTCTCCAGACTGGGATGGCGCTATTTTGTCTAGTAGCATATTCAAACATGGGAAGTTTGGCGTCAATAATACGGAAAACTGCCAGTGTGGCGCTAAAAAGAACTGACTCTTTCTCACAAAGGTCCCGGCTAGCTTCCAAATAGGTCACCAGCGCCCACGCAGCGGTTTAAGAGCCCGCACGTCAACCTGATTCCGCTTGCTTAGGGATATGCGAGGAAGTCACGGTCGATTTTCGAGAGGCGTACTGCATGTTTCCAAAATCGCTTTTTCCAATATGCTCCTCATTTTCTCCCATTCTCTCTTCATTATCGTCTGAATCAACCATAACTGGAATATCCACGGTGGTATCCACGTATACAGGATGCTGTGCAATTAGTGGCGCCGTATTCTCAGGCGTATCATTTTCATCCGACGAGGGAACAATCTCACGTCGTAGTCGTTCGAGTTCGGCATCATCAAATATGTTGGAGCGCAAGATGTACCGAACTTGGTCTGCCAGGTTTTGCTCAGTGACTGTAATAAATGGCTCCAGCTCTGCAAAAAAGCGATGCATTCGAGTCCAATACGCCAACCTTCCAGTTCTTTCCCCATTCAGCCTAAAGTACGCCCACAATGCGTATGCGTTCATATATTGCGACCAATGTATGCGACGTGCTCCACCAGTGCCAGGTGCCGCTTGCTGAGTCCAAGAAGACCCAACCGACACGAAGTCTTCTGGTGGGGATGATGGATGCGGAGGACTGCTGGGTGGTCTTGCAACGCCCCGCGCTCAGCTGGCAGCCCGCATGTTGTCGCGTCCAGCGCCAGCTCCATACGCGTCCTGGAGAACTCCAGGCAGCGGTCCTTTGCGCACTATTTTCTTGTTCATCATCCACAAATTGGGCATCAATTAACGGACGACGCCAAGGCCCGGCACCGTATCGTTTGCAGACATAAGCACAAGCGGGCCTTTGCACCCTCAATTCTGCCGAGGCACGACGCTCACATCTCTTGGCAAGGTGCTAACTGACTCAGTTTTGTCACTTAACTGTAACATCAGCGGGCGATGGAGTCGCCAATTCCCTACGCCGTATTATTATTATGGGGTATTCATAGAGTATTTTCATCTGGTTGGACTGAATAAATATATAAAGGGAAATGAAAATACACGTAAATATATATTTAATATACTAACATAAATAAATAAATAATACATAAATAAATGAAAGAGAACGCAAGTAAGACGAAGGTTATGGTTTTTGAAAGAGAAGAAAGTAAAACGATTTGTGAAATAAGAATAGAAGGGGAGTTGATCGAGCAAGTAGATGAGTTTGTATATTTGGGCTGCGTATTTAGCAGGGATGGAAGATATGATAAGGATATAGAACGACGAGTGAATGCGGGAAATAGAGTAAATGGGGCCCTGCACTCTATTGTGAAGAGTCAAAATGTGTTGAAAAAGGCACGTATGGCAATTCATAATGCTGTGTTGGTCCCTAATTTAACGTATGGTATTGAAATTTGAGTGTGGCAGATTGAAAGTTGAGTGTGGCAGAATAAGCACGAGAGTAGAATCAACGCTGTAGAAATGCGATCGTTAAGGAGTATGTTAGGGCTGAATCTGAACGACAGGGTACGAAATTGTGTGATAAGAGAAGAGTGTGGTTTGCAAGATGATGTTGTGACCAGGATTAATAAAGAAATGCTTCGGTGGTTTGGTCATGTGGAAAGAATGAATGAGGAAAGAGTGACAAAGAAAATTTATGTTGCAGAAGTGAATGGCAGAGTCGGAAAGGGACGTCCTAGGCGAAAATTTATCGACCTAATTGGCGATTCATTGAAAATGGGCCAAATTAGGAGTACTCTTAACCGACGAGCATTTATGCGTAGGTGTATGGATCTGAAGGAGGCGAGAGAGGTATGTCAGGATCATGCCAAATGGAAGTCTGTAGTCTCTGTCTAATATTCCCTTTAACCACTCGTGGTAAGCTTAAAATTTCTGAGATATTACAGATTTTTGTTTTGTTGTATTATAAGAAACATTTTGCTTGTGTTACAAGTGATTCACGCCAGTAGTCGAATGGCGGATTCGAACCCACGACCTTTTTGAGTTCGTGGTCCGCGCCCTGCCATTAGGCTACTGTCACTTAGTATTTGTATTTATGTATGTATTTGTATGTATAAGTTCAAAAACGTACTCTATTTTTAGCTCTGGTTCCATAGAATATTGAGCTCGATATTCAAACCATTTAAATCTAATCACAATACCAAACTTTTCCACTACACGGCTCACTAACTCAGGTGAGGTGAGTAACTCAGTGGGGTGTGCAAACATATTCAATACGTTGCTAGTGAATTTGCCGATACTTCAGCCATTTTCCGCCAGCATGGTTTGTTCGTGTAGAAAGAATGGATTAGGAAAGAGTGACAAAGCAAATATAATATGTCACAGAAGTGAATGGAGGAGTCGGAAAGGGACGTCCTGGGCAAAAGTTTATGGAATAAATTGGCGATATATTAAAAATGGGCTAAATTAAGAGTATCTTTAACCGATGAGCATATATGCGTAGTATATGGATGTGGAGGAGGCGAGAGTGGTATGTCAGGATCTGAAGTCTGTACCCTCCGCCCACTCCTCTTGGTGACAGGCGTGAGTGTTTATGTTTATGTTAATGTGAAACATAGTATAACGCACTAGGGCACACCAGGTTTGCCGGCGAAGACATACTCCATACAAATACACGAAGTTCAATACCCGTGATAAGAGGCAATTTTAGTTTACGACCCGTATCTCTTTTTGCGATAGTAGATCAGGTAAAATTTCGTAATCATTTATGTGTGTCCCTTACAGCCTGACACCACTCCTATGAAAAAGTAATACACCTTTTTTAAGAAAAAAAAAAAGAAAATCCCATAGACCAAACCTCAAAGTGATAACATTTATCTCTCTTCGACCGGTGAGGAAGAAGGGAGCGGGGTATGCCGTATCACAACTGTAAGGATTTCTTGGTGCTCATGTATTTCTGGGCGGTTAAAAAAATTCCACGAAGGCTGTGGCGGGAGCAAAACGCATCGCAGCTCAAGCCATAGTCTTCTAATCTAACTCAACTTAAAGGATTTCAGGGTGCTCAAGTATTTCTGGGTGGTAAAAAACATGACAACAAAAGTGTTTCTCGAAGTTTCATAACTAAATCATCGAAAGGATTTCTGGGTGATCATGTATATCAATGTGCTGTAAAAAATAATAACCAATATAAATAAAGCAATATATACATCCCACTGCTTTGGATCTTCATTTCATAGTAGGGGCTGTGGTACTTCGGGACTGCAGTCCGCCGCGCGCAGCCAATGCTGTTGGCGAACTCAAAAGTCTCGTAAGTTCTCGCTTACGATGAAGTTGTCAAGGCTACACCGACAGCATATGCACTTAAAAAAAGTTGAATTTGAATAATATCAGCCGGCGGTATCGAACCAATCGCGTAAAGACAGGGAGGATCGCTCGTGAGTATCACGGCAAAACAATTTTGTACTAGTATAAAACTTCAAAAAATACACGGCGGCTTATTTGCCAGAATTAATAATAATATCCGTTACCACAGCCAATTAGTCAGTATTCTTTGCCATGAAATTTGTAATAAACACTTAAAAGATTTTAAGTTAGGGCGAATTTTCCAATCACCAGAAAATCAACAACAACAATATTTTAACTTAGTTTATAAATAAATTGATCAAACAATTGAAAAAACACCTTAGATTTTTTAAAGAATTTTAAAACGTTTATCGCAGGATGAGAATTATATACATTCGATTTCTTGCTTCACAATACTAACTACAAAAACACACTTCATTTCACATAATCTATATTCAAAGACAACAATTAGATAATTAAACAAATAAATAGTCTTACACAGAGAGTGTGAGTCGTAACTTATTTGATCAAGTTCTTCATAGATATGTTATTTAAATATGTCATTCCTAAAATACTAAAATCCTTACCTTGGTATCTCCATTAGGTAGATTTCCGGAACACTTTACGATAAATGTCTAGTTCGTGCCTTAATTTAAAATTTCTGATGTTATACCTATAATACTTACCAACGTCCCCCCGGATTCATGAAAATATCTTTTTGAGAAATTTTTATCCACTTTAGAAAGAGGTCAGTGTTTTTATAAAATGTTCCTCTATATTTTTGAGCTCAATGTTTTTTGAATAAAATGGCTTAATGAACATTGAAGTACGACGTTGTTACATTAGAATAGAAAATAATTGATAATACCTAGAGAATTATATGTAATGCAATCATGTAATACTTAAAGACTTTTAGAAATTAAATTAATCAAACCGTTAACAATATTTCATCAAAAATTACGTGACTCATTGAATGAAAAACAAATATGAAATGCATTTATAAAAGTAAGGATAATAAATTCTATTTCTGCAATAGATAGTTACAAATCTATTACACACACTGTATATTATTATTATAAAAATGACAAAAATTTAAAAAATAAAATAACAAGTTTGTTTTTATTATTGTAAATTTTACCTTCATTAACTATCTAAATCCAAATTTAATTTGCATTTAAATTAAAATGTGTGCAAGGCTTTGCACACTGATTAAATATTTTATTCAAACAGAGGCAATTAAATTCAATGAAAAGTTGAATAAGGAAAATACGATACACGTATCATATCTACGACAAGTATGACTAATGACACTTGACCCCTTTGATAAAACTTATTTATTGTACCGTGTGATACGTGGTCGAGACACGCTGCAGCTTCATTATGGTTACAGCATGATTGAAGCAGTGGGAAAGGACACAGTCGCATTTCTATGCGTGCCATACCGGCGTGAAATGGTATCTGAGTGTTGCTGTGTTTCCTGTGTGGTGAGTGTAGGGATCCGGAGACCATTTTTACTGGAATCGAGGCATTCCATCTTAGTGCTCAGGGGTAACAACGCATTTTGTATTTTATTCTTAATTGAGGATGGATGTAGATGTCTATGGGCCACAGTATACAATAACCATAAGGTGGACTGCGTGCTCGCTTGTCATACTTACTTCTATAAAAATCTTGCCTCCATTTTTTTTTCTTCTTCTCTACCATATCGTATTAAAGGCCTACAGTGGATTATGGAGTTCTACAATTCTTGGTATTTTGCATTAATTCCCATGCTTAATTACATTTTAAGAAACAACCCCTAGATAATATTAAAACAAGCTGCAACAAACTTTCAAAAGCAGTACCGGAAATATTGCAAATATGACACATCTTTCCGTAACCGGTACATATATTTTACATCTTTTACTTTTTTATTTGTTTTAAATGCTTAACGTTTTATTATTTACGATGATAGCCGTTTAGTAATTAAATAGGTGTCGTATAGTCCTAATATTGTTTGTAATAAATTTAAACCTCTATAAAAAATTGTTTTGAAACAGAATTTTAACGCCTTAAGCCTTTGACTTAAGTGTCTTAATATTGCATTCAAACTGTCTTCAACTAAATCGTAACCTGAAACTTCTTACAAATGACTTTATGACATTTAATTGAAATTTTACAAGAAT